AAACGCCTTATGGAATGTACTTGGTCGAACAGGGGAAAATTTAACATATCGGTTCTTTTGCTCAAAATGCAAAGACGAAATTGGAATTGGTCGTCAAATACAAAGAAGATGTACTTGCGGTAGATGCCGTCCAGGTCAGGATAAGTCCTTTGTAGCAATTTTTATACAAGTGCTTTTGCGTCCTCAACTAATGGACTTATTAAAAATTCCAAACATCGCGGAAAAATTACGCTACAGAGATAATAGAGTTAGGTTAGATGGGAATGCAATGGAGGATATTTATGATGGACAGATGTACCAGCAACTTCAACGTAATGGAGGATTTCTTTCTAATCCTTATAACTATTCTTTGACATTATGGACCGACGGCTTAAAACTTACTCGATCATCTCGCGCTACGACATATCCAATAATTTTCCAGTTAAATGAACTTTCACCCCATTCCCGAAAAAAACATTTGTTATTAGGTGGTCTGTGGGTTGCAAACGAACATCCTAATATGAATACTATTATGCAACCTGTAGTTAATGAAATAAGAGGTTTACATCGCAATGGAATCCCCTGGAGACCCGATGGAGAGAATGAGGTGATCAGTAGATTTATTGTAGTTATATTCACAGCAGACTCCGTGGCAAAACCTGACGTCTTAAGGATGAAACAATTCAATGGTGAAAATGGTTGCCCACATTGTCTTGCTCCTGGACAAATGGAAAATAATACATGGATATATCCTGCAGGAGAACATGAAATGCGCACAGATCGATCAATAAGACTTGACGGATTGGCTGCTCACAGAGAACGAATAATAGTCCAAGGAGTTAAAGGCGTTTCATCTTTAGCAACCTTACCGCAATTTAACCTCGTTAATGGTGTCGTTGTTGATCCTGCTCACAATCCGTTTTTAGGAGTAGCAAAGAGATTAGTTGAAAGATTTTTAACTGATGCCGAAGAAAATTGGTACATTGGACGACCACAACAAATCACAGTTATCGACAGAAGGTTATTGAGCATAAAACCACCTACAAGAAATTCTAGACAGCCTCGCAGTATACAACTCTATAAAATGTGGAAAATATCAGAATGGCGTAATTGGCTTCTTTATTACGCGCTTCCATGTCTTGATGGAATTTTGCCTCCGCTTTATTTTAATCATTTAGTACTACTATGTGAAGCGGTCTACATTTTGAATAACTGCTCTATACAACAAGCACAATTAGGCAGAGCAGATGATTGCATCAAACAGTTTGTGCAGGGATACGAAAGACTGTATGGACTTATCAACATGCTGTTTAATGTGCATCTTTTATATCACCTCGTTCATTCCGTACGCAACTGGGGTCCTTTGTGGGTGTACTCAGCTCTTCCATTTGAGTCTTTGAATAGAAGAATTTTACAGTTTGTGACAAGTCCGCATGCCAGAGGAAGTCAAATAGTTACTAGATTCTTTTTAAAAAAATTTATTGTAGTTGCAGCAGCACAAATACCAATTACTGCTGAAGCAAGACAAGAAGCTTATCGTCTTCTTAAAATTAGCAATTATCAAATAGAAGGCATGCCGGAAGGACATTATTTTCATGGTCTTGGAAGACAAGAGGCTCGTTATCCGCAACCATATGAAGTAGATCTTATTACAGCAGCAGGCAATGTAATTCATCCAGGAAGATATATTCGATTATATAGGAGAGCAATCATTAATGGAACAGAATACAGAGTTCGAGACAATGTCAGAAGGAAATTTTGCAATCATATTGCATTCTGTCAGGGCTCAAGATTTTTTGTAATTGAAAGATTTCTATCATACAGATACGGTGGGCAGTTAATAGCTGGATTTATTGGGACATTTTTGCATAGCATAGAACGTGCATTCAGAACTCCTCATATGCAACGCGTTACTGACATTCAAGTAAGGCATTTTATCTCTTACAACGCAATTATAAGTCCAGGTTTCATAATTCCCAGTGACGAAGGAATTGCAGCTGTTTCACTATGTAATGTGTGGGAAACTGATTAATAACTTAGGTAAATATCTAAAATTTTTATATTTATTTCACACATTTTCATTATTTTATCATTTTTAAGTTAATTTAATCTTAATTTTTCTCCATCATAAAAAAATTATAAAATTATTTGCGCAAACATTTATTGCATTCATCATACAGTTTGTTCAATGTATATAATAATATAAAAATTCAATAGTTGGTAATGAAATTACCCAACAACAAATGTAAATTTAATTTTTATATTTGTTAATGTGAATTACTAATGTGTATTCCTAAAAATATATTTATAGATGCAGTACAAGAAGATTTCATAATAACTGGATATATTTAAATTGATGACATAATAAATGACTGAATAACATAATAACGTTATATAATCCAATTAGACAAAAATAAGCAAAAATAAATGTCCCATTTTATGCTACTTGATGGACTTTCATTGCAGATTGGATGAATGTGAAGGAAAAATTGGACTACGATGGACAATAAAGAAAGGAACTTAGATTTTTAAAATAAAAAATGAATAATTCATTGTTAATAAAATAATTTATTTTCAAAGATTTTTGTTGTTGCTTTTATTAACACTAGAACTACAAAAGATCCTGCATATCTACAACTATTCATAGGTTTCTTCAAGTATATTTTGAATCCAATGTCGGAAATACTCTAGCATTTTAATTTTTCACTAAAAAATACGTTTAAATGATAAAAAACGGCCTTTTTTATGTTAACTTTACAGCAATATAGAAAACTATTACGACAAATTGCAAACTTCCAGTAGGTTTTAAAATAATAAAAAATCCTTCAACAATAAATTATGTATATCGAAAAAAAAGTTCAACTGAGATTTTGACAAAATCTATTTTTTGATAAGCGCGTTCATTGTTTATACTTTGTAATAACTGTTCGTAATGATTATTTTTTAATTTTGGAATAATAATTGTTTTTAACAATATTAATAACCATTGAACAAAATTTCTTGTCAGTATTTCTAGGTATGACATTTCAAATCTCAGGTTCTGATAATGATAAAAATCTGAAATTTGGTATACTAATTAAACTCAACAAAAAAGTAAGTCAGAAAATTGTAGTCCTCTAGCTAAGCATTAACGGAAGATATAGTAGCACAAACATACGAGATGTGACAATTTGTACCATCGGTATAGTTCAAGTGTTGGAACCTAAATAAAAAGAACGAGAATCTGAAGATTTAAATAATTTAGAAAATTTATATATTACTGTAACTCTCAAAATCAATTTATATTCGTGACGCGTTATGATTGTCATTTTTTAAATGAAAATGCACAAAGAAGATTGAGTCTCAATAAAACAGTTAATTTTTTAGTGATTATTAAATCCCAAATATTAAAAAAATGTCTTATTGTTAAACAATTAAAAACCTCTAGAAAATAACTATCTAAGCAATAATTGAAAAACTTGACAGGAGCTATGAAAAAATAAATTTTCATAAAATTGGTTATATCTACAAGAAAATTGAATAAAATTAGTAGTAGCTATTAAGTTTTATAATAAATATCACTCCATATATACTGTCATTATCGTAGTTATTGTTATTGACACGCAAAATAATATAATCACCTTTCAATTTTATCGGCTTGCACAGAATTCAATTTTTTCTTTAATTGTTAAAATAATTTATTCTTCTCCTTATTCGACCTTTTTCTAAAACACATTGATTTTATCCGTTTTGGCAAAATAAATTTATCTTTCTTGTTTTGATGAACTCTGTATTATATGCATTGTATTTCATAAAAGTCGTTGCGGCATATTTTTAAAAAATGAAATTTTCAGAAATAAATCTGTATGATATATTTAAAGAAGAAATTAAAAAGAATGAAGTTTAAATTTTTATTACTTGTTATGAAGTTAGAATTTAAAAAAGACAAGATGCAGAAAACTATCTCTTTTTTGGCAATTAGAAATTATATAAGAGAACCCACGTGGAAAGGTTCCGCGGAAACTCCGCGGAATCATTCCGCGGAGTTTCCGCAAAGTAATTCCGCGGAGTGGCTCCGCTGAATTTCCGCAAATTTTTTTCTTCATTATTTTTATATGAAAAACATAAAATTATTTTCCAAACGATGTTGAAGAATTTAAACATGACAAAAATAAAACATCAGGTCGACAATTATCTACCTGCTGTCCAGGTAAATCTAGGTCAACTTTTTCCGGGATGTACACTTCAAATATGAAAAATGATAAACCAGGTCACAATTTGTCTATCAGATATCCAGGTGAATGTTTTGAGCAAAGTTCCCCTCAAATAGTAAAAATAATAAACTAGGAGGTTACAATTGGTCTATCCAGATAAATTTCTGCAGGTAATTTCAACTCAAATAGTAAAAATAAAACTCAAACAAGTATTTAGGTTAATTTGAATCAACAACTCTATATAGCCTACAATAAGTTTTATTAATTTTTTAATTTTTGAACAAATTGTACCATCAAATGAACATTAATATTAATTAAATAATTAAACTGAATAACTTTTTTTACTTTTTCGGTTGCGTTTTATGGGCATGTTTTACTTTTATTTCTTTTAATTTAGAGCGAAGACTATCAATTACTGCCCGATCATTGTTCGGCCTCCATCCATTCTTCCTTGCAGTGTTGCCAGAGTGAGCGCCCTCAACTTCCCGTCAGTCTAGTATACAATTCCCGATTTTTCCCGGAAAAATTTCTTAAATTTCCATGAAATTTCCCACCATATAAAATTGTAATTTATTAGAATTATAATATAATATATAAGCTCTGATAAAAGATTATTATTATTTGTATTGCTATTGTTACTATTTATATTGAGTTTTTCTGTATTTTATTTTTAATTTTTGAATTAATTATCGTTTTATAAATCATTAAAACTTTTTTAAAATTTATTCTGTTATAAAACTTGAGTTATAGTTAAAAATCTATTGAATTTGTGCATTATTAGAGTATTTCCCGTAATTTATTCATTTCCCGTAAAATTTCCCAATGCTGTCAAAATTTCCCGTATTCCGGGAAATTTCCATGTAATTGGCAACACTGCTTCCTTGCTACATTGATACAATATTCTGTTAAAAAAAATTTTCCAATATTAATTCTATTGTTTTACACAACTTATTTAATAATAGTAAGTTTTAAGATTAAGAGTAGTCAAGATGGCGAGCAAATATTGTCGAGAAAATTCCCTAACATTACCTCGACCATTTTTTTATTTTAGGTTTAAAATTATCAGAAACCATCCGAGAAAAGGAAATAAAAAATAAGCAAAAGTTGATAGCACTTTTGGAATAAAAGTAATTAAGATCCACGCAGTAAATAAACATTCTCTAACTTTAAACATAATTTTACATCTCTATGTCTCCGAACGACACTATTTCAACTCTAGCTAGCTCCTGAATTTTATAGTAACTCTGGCGCGCTTCTATATTTTGTATTATTTCTGTAGAAAATCATATCTAGTCCTACCGAAAAAAGAGAATGAAGGAATGGGGAAAAAATTATAATTTTTTTTAATAATTAAAATTAATTAAATTATTTTTTTAAAAGAATCGACAAAATAATATGAATGGTAGAAATTTTTAAAAAAGTGACAGAAAAATTGAGAGAAAAGTGTCATAAAATTTTAAAGAAAAAATTTAATTTGAGAGAAGGCAACGAATCGCAAAGAGTCGAATCGTCGACTGCGCTGTTGCCACAAAATACAAAAGCGCTTCAGAGTTACTACAAAATACAGGACCTTGCTAGAGTAGAGATAGTGTCGTTCGGAGCCATCGTTTTTTTCCCTGATTTTTTTCTGACTATAAAAATTGTCTGACTGTTCTCAATTTTCCTGGTCTCTCGCCTCCCTGCAATAAGATTGAAATTTTAATTACTTAAAATCACGTCAATGACAGAACTTGGAAGTCCTTCCTTGTTCTTTTTTGTTTCCAAATTATATTGAAGAAGTGCTTCTGCAGTAAAAATGTTGGACATTAGCATTCGCGCTAATGCATTATGCGATGTTGCTTTGCGTTTGCAGTCTTTCAAAACGGTTTTATCGATATATACATCGCTCTCTGAGATCAATTCAACAGCCTAAAAATAAAAATTAGTTTACATTAAATTTTATTCGTTATATTTTTTAATCTACTTATTATATTTATTTTTATTCATTGCCCAAGTAGCACGTAATATTACACAAATATTACCAAGTAATATTACTGCAATATTAAAATGTTCCCACGGTTGTAATATTAAAATCGATGTTATCATAAGACTACAGGAACATTACAGAAATATTACGCGGTAATGTTACTATAATATTACAGTAATATTTTGGGAACATTGCTGTAATATAATACGATTGTCAAAGAAATTTAATAAAGTGTCAATGTAATCAGGAAAAAAGGAAAACTTTTCTTCTTTAATCATTAGATATGGATTTTGCTGCAATTTTTATTCACTATAGATTACCGCGTAATATTCCAGTAACAGTGCAGTAACATTACCGTGTAATCTCACTGAATTTTACCGTTATATTACCATCGGGGGGATATTTAAACTTGGAGAAATATTACTTTAATATTACGTGCTACTTGGATGGTTATTATTTTATTATATATTATTTATTTATATTTATATCTATTATTATATTTATTGATTCATACAAATTTATGTGAATTTGTATAGAATCTTTAAAGACATGATAATGGATGTAAACTAAATAGATATAAAGCATTTACCTTATCGCCGGCAGTACTTTTCGTAAATATGAACATATTGTTCTCTTCAACAACACCCTCTGTTTCCATGAGTTTAGGACCAGTGATGTTTTCTTTTTCAAGATGTTGTTCACCTTCACTTTCCTCATAGTCTTCGCTATAATTTTCCAAAATCGAATTGAAAGCAGTAGATGCGAGAGGCTTAGTAACTGCTTTTTCTTTTATGGATTTTGAAATTATTGAGGAATGTGGATTTTCCAAAAGCGAATTGAAAGATGTAGATGCCTGGTGCTCAGTTACTGCATTATTTAAATTTGACAATAATGGTGTGTTATCTTTAATTGCACTCGAAATTGATGAGAAGCGTAAATTTTTACCTTGGCTTCGGTCAACAGAAAAAGCGAGCTAAAAAAATATGAAATTTCTACATTTTCTTTTTAGAAAAGTTTAGTTTTATTTATAGTCAGGAAGAGCAACAAAAGGAAAATGTTGATAATACTGTCGCAGAAAGAAAAAAGATTTACAAGTGAAATTTTATGTAAATTGAGTAATTGGTATCGTTGAATTAAATCCTAAAATATTAATTTTATAAAAAATTAATTGTTTAATTTATGAGGAATTTAGTTATTCCGTTTTAAGCGAGATTATACTAATTTCAAATCTGTATAATTTCGACAAAACTTGCCAGATTTTAATTTTTATCTAGTGAATTTTATACGATTTTTTGCGTACTTTCCAATACAAAAACTCCTTTTTTATGAAAAAATTTTTAACTACTCTTTCTTCAAAAATAAACTTTATTTTTCAATTTTTACAAAAACTCCCTCTTTTTTTAATTTTTTATCACTTTCATTGAAAAGATGAGATTTTTTCCAACAAATTATGTTAATTTTAAAAATGGGATTACAATCAAGAAAATAAAAAAACCAACTTTTCAAAAACTTTTTGTTTATTTAATTGAAAACCCATTGTTGTCCCATTTTTTAACTTTACATAATTGATTGGAAAAAATGTCAGCTTTCCAATAAAAAAGATAAAAAAAGAAAAAAACAGGTAGTTCTTTGTAAAAATTGAAAAATAAAGTTTATTTTAGAAAAAACAGGGGTTAAATAATATTTTAAAAAAAGAGTTTTGTAATTGAAAAGAACACAATAAATGCTTTAAAATGTACTATATGAAAGTTACAATCGCCTAATTTTTGTAGAAATTATGTTAATTCTTAATTTGATCAAAGGAAAGTTCCTTAATATCTAATTGTTTTGATTGGATCAGTTCACGTATGGAATTGCTCGTGTTTCAATTTTTTTATTGCAAATCTATTATATTTAAAATATCTTTTAAAATGATATTTTGAATGAATAATAAAATAATATACAAATTATTTTAATAATTAATTTCGTTTGCAAATTATGAAATAACACATTGCTACTACTTAAAAAGTGATTTTAAATTAATAAAATTTTTATAATTTATTAAAGTTCATACTCCTTTTCATAATTTTTGTTTTTTTAATTTTTGGATTATCTTTATTTTAATATTTCTAACTTTTAAACATTGTATTAATATTTTCATAAATTTTAAACCTACTTTTTTTAAATCCTCTAAAATCTTAGTTAACTGTTTGTTAAGTTGCAATGCCTCTTGAATTTTGTCAAAAATTACATTTGAACTTGATTCATCGAAATTTGATTGATCCTGTAAAATTAATTAGGAAAGGCAATAAATTTTAAAATATTCGTTAAAATGCAAATAAATAAATAAACTATTTTATTATATTTATAATAATAATACCTCACTTTCAGAAAAAGAGTCGCATTGAAGTTTTCGTTTCTTTGCCTGACTTCTTTTTCCAGCTTCCTTTAATTTTTGATTTTGCAGTGTTAGCAATTCTTTCTCGCTGTCTGTAAATAAATTTTTAAGCATATTACAATTTTTAAAATTAATTTTGAATTCTTAAAAATTAATAAAAAAATTTTAATATAAAAATTAATATTAAAAAAATTGTTAACCCTTTCAGGATTTTTAAAATAACTGTTGCTGTATAATGTGTTTTAAAAATGTTTAATTATTTATGTTTGCGTCATTAATCATTTTATTTATAGTAAAACTAAGGAATAAAAATTACATTTTTCATGTACAATATTCAAATAAAATCGTAAAAAAATTATGTAGTTACTTTTAAATTAAAATATCCATTTGAATTATAATTTAATGATTTTATTATTATATGGTAAAGACGAAAAGGATTCAGTAAATTTCCAATCCATTGAAATTTCCTAAAATCTTTTATCTAAAGATAGAAATTTTTCGCTATCTCATTTTTGAATTTGAAATTAGAAAATTTTAATTTCAATAAAATAATAATAATTATGATATAATGAAAATAATAATTAAAAGTTAGGTTGCTAAGAGAATAAATAATAAAAAAAATTATAGCATTCATATAAAAGCATAAACATACTTGACATGCCAATTATGGTTCCCGTGTAACGTTTTTGCACTGCAGAAAATTCTGGCCAAAGATACTTGATGGTTATCCCACGTTTCAGTTCCGGAATACTTGAATCGAAAATGACTGACATTTTATTTATAATTGTGAAACAACCATCGCCCTCAATAAGAAGTAATTCTTGATCCATTTTTCAATAAAAAAAGTTTAATTTTTAAATTGAATAAATTTCACGATTTGACTAGCAGCAAATTAGATGAAAATGACATCGCTTTTATATTTTCGTTCCTATTTTGTTTTAAAATGCAAACGTAACAAATAAAAGTTAGCAGCTAATTTCATATGATAATAACGAAAAATGTGTGAAATTCAATTTCTCAGGTCATTTTATTTTTTGTTTCATTTAATTATTTATTATGAAATGGATACATATGTACAGGAGATACAAATGTATCTCCTGTTTCAACAAATAAACTAAGTATACAGATTTTGTTTAATTTTCATATTTGAACTTACATTATGTGACATTCAAAAATAAGAAAATAAGAAACGCCGAAATTTTTTTTTTAAAACACATTTTGTTTAAATTTTGTTTAAATCGTAAAATAAACTTTCAATGTTCAAAACTGAAGCATTCGTTTCTTCTGTTAAATTTAACGCTTCAACAATACTATTCTGTAAATTAGCTTCACGTTTAGTTCTTTCGTCTAACTCTTGTAGTAGCAATTTTGCCATATCAATATTATCTTGTCTTGCTCTTGAGCGATATTCTTGTCGTTTTTCTTCATACTGTTCCTTTTCTTCTTTCATTATATCTTCTATCGTGATTCCGTTCTCTTCCATTTCTATTTTCATCTTTTTCATTTCATTCTGTACTATTTTCTGCGATTCTAAAAATTTATTATTTATAAAAATCAGTGCATTATATATAATATATTGCATTATATTATATTTAAACATAGTGAGAAAAATTTTGAGAGAATAAAATATATTATTAGTATTTATTTATTATTATCTCTTTCATTACCTAACATGATTAAATATAATAAACAAACAATAATTTGAAGAAAAATAATATATATTAACCTCAAAAGAAAGTAAAATTTTTAAAGTAAAATGATTTTATCACTCGGTCGATATTAATTAAACGTTAATAATCAAATTTTATATTTTCAATTTTTAAAGTGAAGTTTAGGAAACAGCTAGGACACTTTTAAATTAATATTGAATTGTTAACAATTGAATAAGTTAAAAGTTGTTTTAATAACTGCATTTTTTTACAAATAAGTTATTAAAAAAATGTATAATTTGTATATTTGAGAGACGACCTTTAAAAAGATATTTTGTCAATTACTTTATTATTGAATTCAATTATAAAATACTAATATAATTAAAGAACTATATTTTAGATTTTTTTCAAAAACCAAAAATTTTTGCAAATATAATGCAGTGCTAGAGACATAATTTTTAAAGCAAATGAATAGTTAAAGAAATTCAAAATTTGAAAGTATACATATATTTTTTATATATATATGTAGGTTTCAAAATATCTAAACTACTTACCCGATTCCATAATGATTTTTCCAATTTTAATTTTTGAATTTGTTTTGTCTTCAGGATACGGAAACTGAATTTTTGCCCCGATTTTTATTTCTGCTTCATCGGTCACTAGTAAACTGTTTTTTCTCACTATATAAAATTCAGCATCTTTAGTGAAACATTGTAATAAACACCAACGATTGTGTTTAGTCATTATACTTGAATAGTTAATTCAAATTTAATAAACAGATTTAGTTTATACTGGTTTATATCAATGTTTATTTTTGTTTGCTTTTGACAGGTGGTTTTTAGTTTAGGTTAGGTAGAGGTTTTTAACTTAAGGTGTTATCACATGTGTGTAGAACCTCTATAGCATTAAGAATTTAAAAGGAATTGCCTTTTTCATAGTCCATCTTTTCAAAAGAAAATATATCGTTTTCATAATAAATCTAAATTGAAAAAGGCCAAATAGTACTTTTGCAAGTGAAATTATTAAAGGGACTAGATAAAAATGAGGGTACGGTCACAGCTCAGCTATCTAAGATAAGAGTGAGAGAAATAGGAATATTTTTTATTTCTCTCACTCTTATACGTTGCTATGACGACCCTACTTAGATAGCTGAGCTGTGACCGTACCCTGAACAAATTGCTTCTCGGACAAGAAAATCCAGAATTGTGTCATTTCAGTTGGCAGCACTGAACATAACAAACAGACCTAGACACCTGTTTTGTTTCGTGGTATGGTTAGCTCAACCGGTGGGTTAGCTTCGTGATTTACACGTGTTGGAAACGGAAATGTGCAAAACACAAAGTGAATTTTAGTTGTTTAATAAAGTTTTTCGTGTGTCGTTTAAAGTTGTAAAGGACATAACATTTTTATTACGGAGATGATTTGAAGATAAGAAAAAAACCATTTAATATATTAAATATTACAGGATAAGTCTAAAATAGATAGAGCAACGCATGGGAAAAATTTGACAACAACGCTTTTCTTCGAGCGTTGCCATTTTAGACTTATTCTCTTGCTTGCAATTGTTTATGTAAATTGCCTTTATTAAAAAACAAAAAAATTATTAAATGTATTTAAAATACATAAAATCTGCTTTCAACTTAGGCAAATTCCACCGATGTACTAATGTAACAGACGCAAGAAATTTTTTTTGAAAAATGACAATTTTTGTAGTTTACAAATATAAGAAAATATGTCGCATTCATAAATATTCGTTTGTTACCTTAGTAACCTAACAAAAACTTCGGAGGTAAAGAGCAGATTAATTTCAATGATTGTCTAAATATAAAAATTACATTTTTTATATTTTATATATTTAGTTAAACTCTTTGCTGGTAATGAGATTGACTTGTCACATGACACAAGGGACTGCAAACAAATAAATGAGAAGAATTCACGCTGTCTCTTTTTGATGTTCTCGTTCGTGTTTGAATTTATGAAATATAACTTCTCTACTGCTGCATTCGTAAGTTCATTCTCTTTTGGAATATTTTTTATGTTTTAAAAATTAGACTTTTTAATTATTAATAATTAATATAGTATACCTCTTCATGCATAAAAATTGTAATTTTTAACATAATTTAAAATCATAAATGTGACAAATTAAATAATTGCTTCCTCATAAAGAAAATATTATATTGGAGAAATTTTGCGAGTGCGATTTTTGGCCATATCTTTTAAAATTCCTTTTTAATAAATATATTTAAAAATAATTAACATGTATTTAAAATTTGAATACATTATTGACATTTAAAAAAATCATACTTTTTTATTTAAAAATTTTCTTATTAACTTTATACTATTATGGCTAAATTGTAAATTTTTTAGAAACCCATCAGTTTATCTATTTGTGAATAATCTAGTGTCCTTTTATATACAATTACAAGCCTTTTATAAATTGAAATTTTTTTATTCATAATTAAACTCTTTATAATACCCTTAAAATATTATAGCTCTCTTATAAAAAATTTTAGAACGCATCTAATGATCTATTTCGTGAATATTTTTATATAAAATATAATCAAGTGATTGCCGTTTGAAAAATTATAAATTTCATAAAACGTCAATTTTTTGTTTTTAAATAAATATTTTAATATCTATGAGAAAGCACAGTAATCATGAAACGATAACAAATAAACATATGTGAAAATACACGTGAAGGTAGTAAAACTTGGCAGCAATTTTTTATTGTTAATTTAAATGCATTAGACTATATACATATGTGTCATAACAAGATGAAAATTCTTTGAAAAAATTAGAAGTGTTATGTAATTTTTAAATTTCGAAAGCGTAGAAATAATCCTACCTAAAATTTGTATTCTATATCTTACTTTGAAAGTCAAATTTTTAAGAGGTTTGGTGTCATTCTGCTTAAAGAATGACTTATTGTTTAAGTTAAAAAATTTGTTTAACCATTAAAAAATATTTGCAGATAAATATGGTCGTTCTAACCAATATCAAATTAAGCAAATTCTAACTGTTTAATTGGAAACAAAAAAGAAAAAGCAGAAATATGGTAACACTCTATTAATAGTAAATACTATTTTTTCTCAATATTCCCAAGTGCATTTAAATATATTCCTATTACTTTTAGATCTCAAATAACGAAAATGAAAGCACATCGTCCCTATCATCGCAATTTCAAGGTGAAAATGATGTCATGACTGAATCTTCTATAGTTGTACCATCAACTTCTACAAGTAATTCCTCACTGTTAACTTTTAATCAATATGTAATTGATTATGATGTTCCTGAGCAACAAATTAGCCCCTTTCGTCGTTTTTCTACTTGTCAACCATATTCATCGACACCTGAATCATCTGTATTAACGTTTAATAACGAAGATAATGATATTGATAATATTAGTGACAATAACCATACTGACGATAACGGTAGTATCAATAACGATAATAGCGATATTAATGACGATAATGATAACAGCAATAACGGTAGCGACCATAATGATAATGATATTGATAATAGTAGCGAAAATAACCATACTGGCGATAACAGTAGTAGCGATAACGATAGAAGAAATAACGATAATAGCGATATTAGTGACGATTGGGATAACAACAATAACGATATCGACGATAATGTTAGTAGCGATAATGACAGATTTGCTAATAATGAAAACGATTGGCTCAATAACCCTATTTATGATAACGCAAATATTTGTGGAGGTGATGCTTTAAATCAGATTTTAAAAATATATGTTTCAAACCGATTAACGAAAACAGCTTTAGGGGATATGTTAAGTTTAATAAATAATTTATTACCTGAAGACCACTCACTTCCAAAAACAAAATATAAATTAACAAAATTAATTGATAAAGTTTTACCTCCTGTGCAGGCGAATTTTACAACTAAACACAGGATTTGTGCAGACTGCCTTAACTATGTAGGAGAATGGTCAGATTCTGTAAATGTGCAAGTTTGTTTGCGATGTAATAGTAGAAAGTTGGACAGTTTTTTTCTAGAATTTGATATTGAAACAGAATTACGTATTGCTTTTGAAGTGAGGGATCTTCATTGTTTAATTGATTCCTTTAAAACCGATTGTTTAGGAAGAAATCCAGAATTGGTGACCGATTTGATATCTGCTTCTGAATATCGTCGTTTAAAAACAATTGCCATTCCTGGAGAATATGATCTTTTCATGATTTGGTTTACTGATGGTGTACAAATGTCCAAAAGTGGACGCAGTCAGATGTGGCCTGTATACGCTCAAATTGTAAACATACCGCCACGTTTTCGAAGGAGTTTCCAATTTGTGTGTGGTATTTTTTACCGTAACGAAGGCATAAAAAAACCAGACATGAACTCATATCTCCAACCTTTTCCTTTGTCTCTAAATAATTTATTTGTAAATGGATTTGAATGGTTAAATCAAAAGTTGCAGCGTAAAATCAGAAGTAAAGTACTTGCGCCTATTGCGATTTTGGATGCTCCTGCTCGAGCATCTGTGCAAAACATAAATTATTACAATGGAGAGTACAGTTGTGCAAGTTGCGAGGCAAAAGGAGAAAGTTGTCCAACTGGAGCTGGTTGGAATTGGATTTATCCAATAGTTCCAGAAGAACCTCCTTTAAGATCCTCTGAAAGAATGGAGATTCAAACCGCAATAGTTGAAAAATACGAGAACTTGAAACACTTTAGAGGCGTTAAAGGTAGATCGGTTGTCACAAATATTCCTTACTTCAATAGGTCAAAGGGATTTCCCCATGATTATATGCACTCAGTGCTTCTTGGTGAAATGTTAGCACTTTTGACTTGCTGGTGTAATTCCAATAACCATGCAGAAGATTTCTATTTGACCAAAGAGAATAGAGATGAAATTAGTGAAATTTTAGTTAAAATATCACCGCCGGACGACGTGACACGAAATCCCAGATCGCTGTTAAAGCTGAAAGATTGGAAGGCTTCCGAATTCAGAGCATTCCTTGTGTACTTTCGGACCGATAGTTTTAAAAAATCGTTTTAAGAAATCGGAATATTTTGATCACTTTTTACTGCTTGTTAAAGCAATCCAACTTTTATCAAAAGAGAAAATTCTTCCGGCAGAAATCGATCTCGCGGACAGTTTATTACACATTTTCATTATTGACGTGGAACGATTGTACGGTCTTAATAAATGCACTTACAATTTACACCAATTGAAACATCTTGCACAAAATGTTCGAGAATATGGACCGCTCTGGGTTTGGTCGGCTTTCTTGTCTGAAGATCAAAATGGCGAATTGGTCAAAATGACACACGGTTCTAATAAGATAGATGTTGAATTATCAAATACAATAAAAATAATCCAAGCCCAACGTTGTATTAATTATCTTGTGCAACCTGAAAGACCATTAAATGTTTATGAATGTTGCACACATGGACCATCTATAGCACATACTATTACAGATAGCGAACTTCTGGCTATTAGTCATGCGACAGGTCTTACCAACGAGCAGTTATTGGAAGCTCCTACTCCGATATTTTCTAGGTGCAAAATAAATAACGAAATTTACACTTCAAAATTATATTCTCGTCAAAAAAAACGTAAAAACTATTACGTACAATATAAAATTAATGAATCAATTTCTTTTGGTACTGTTAAATATTATATTACAGTTCAAAAAGTTTCATACGCAGTATTAAGCAAACTTATTGTTACCGACGATAGCAAACACGAAATTAAAAACAGAGAAATTGGATTCAATCTGAATGAAACTTTAAAACATGTTCGAGAGTCTTACGTTATAGAAATTGTCACTTTAGACAAAATTGTATCAAAATGTTTGAAGGTAGAAAATTATATATGTATCTTAATAAATAATATGGAAAGAAAATAATGTTTTCCTCAGAGAACAATTTTAAAGTAAAAATTAACAATCGAAATAGCGCAATTTTTAATAAACTAAATAATTGTAACGAAATCGAAAATTTTCATTGATTTTGTATGAACGAAAAATCGATAATCGGAGACCAAAAGTGAACGGATAATTAAACCTAAATCGATAACCGAAAAAGCGTGATTGTTAAGAAACCAAATAATTATAACAAAATTAAATTTTTTTAATGTTTTTGTGTAAGACTAATTAAGACTATTAATTATGATTATATTAAAAAGTTGGATTTAAAGTATGTGTATGTTATTTATGTTATTATTCATGTAGTATTTATAAGAATATTCCT